CTAGTACCCTAAACCCTAAACCCTGGTACCCTAAACCCTAAACCCTAGTTCCATAAACCCTCAACCCTAGTTCCCTAAACCCTAAACCCTAAGCCCTACGGGAAGGAACCTTTTAGTCGCCATCCCGGGAGCCTCAGCGACCCCAACAGACCTTAATGAAGGAGTGTACTCTAAATTATAGGGGCCTCAATATTATGATTTCCCTAAACCCTAAACCCTAAACCCTTAACCCTAACCCTTCTTTCAAAACCGAGGTTGTAGGATCCCTTAAAGGGACTAAAGGAGGGACCCTTAAAGGGGGGGTTTAGGGTTTAGGGTTTAGGGACCCTTGGGGTTATATAGGTGCCTTATGAGACTATACAAGTGTTATATGGGGTATTTTGATTAGGGGTCCCTTCTGGGGGTCCCTCCTGTTGTCCCTTAAGTGAAGCACAACTTCCAAACTACAGGGATTAGGCTCTGAATGTTTGGATCTATTGGGCATAGGGTTTAGGGTTTAGGGCTAGTAGAAATTATCTCTAAAGTTCAGCTTCAGAGCGTCGAGCAGGCTGTGCGCAGCTTTCTTGAGCTGCTGCCCTTCAACCCTTACATCCCTTTCAAACTCCCTGAAACCCGCTGCTTTAAAACCATTTGCAGCCAAATGACATTCGCAGATCACAGCTGGTTGTAACCTTTGACACCTCCTCCCTGCTGAACCGCTTATGCTCAACCCTCCGTTCAACTCTGCTTATTGCACACCCTTTCTATGTCCAGTACTTTAAGCTTTTCAGGGATGCCGTAGTGCACTCGGCAAACAATCGTTTACGCTCGGAGCCCGTTTGCTCGACACTCCGTAAGGACTGATACGATTCCTTCAGAATCACAAACAGCGTGCTTCTGGAAGCGTCTGCAACTCGACACATCAAAAGAACAGGTCAAGCCCGTCCAGCCTTGCTGCACAGTCTACATACGATTACGAAAGTGATATGTTGAAACCTAAAGACCCAACACCTCAAAGCCTGCGAGCCCAGAAAGACCCAGACGGGACGAAGGACTTCGGGCCCAGAACCCTAAATCCAAACCCCCAAACACCAGGTTTAGGGTTTAGGGTTTAGGGTTTAGGGTTTAGGGTTTAGGGTTTACGGTTTAGGGTTTAGGGTCAAACCCTAAACCCTCAAACCCCAAGCGTCTGGGCCACCAGGCTGCTTGTCGAGAGCTCAGTCGCGCCAGGGTGTGGCCCAAGCGCCACCCCATCGAGGCTGCGGGAGTCGGACTGCCTGGATTTGAAGTTGAAAGCCTTTTTTCGAGGCAAAAGGCATTTCCAACAGAAACATTGCCCCAAAAAGCTGCTGCGACAGCCAACCTAAAACTTTATAACTCCTAGTGCTGAAGCCTCGGTTTAGGGTTTAAGGCTTAGGGTTTAGGGTTTAGGGTTTGGGGTTTAGGGTTTGGGGTTTAGGGTTTGGGGTTTAGGGTTTAGGGTTTAGGGCACAATCACCCTTAAAAGCGCATGACATATGTTCAACAGCTTTTGGAGCCAGAACCTTGCCTCCGAATCTCAAACCGCGGTCAGTTTCATCGTCCGTAGCACGTATGACTTAGGCTTTCAGGTGAACGGGAAGCGGTTCGAAAGATAGGGTGTAACTTATAACCCTAGACCCTTCCGATGCTCGGGCTTTGTTAGGGACTTCTGAACCTTAAGTTTAGGACTGGGGCACGCAAGCACTCAGCGACTAAAGACGAAGCAGATTTGGACGCTCTGCTAAGCTGCTAAGCAAGAGCTTTGTGTGACAGTTCGGGGTTTGGGTTTTGGTGCATGTAGGGCTGGGCAACACCTGCACCACCTCGTGTTGCTTGGTACAGACCATGCAATCCATGCGGGCTGGATCTAAACACACTACTACCCTACCTTGCATCCATACCGTCCTAATTCAAGCCCAGTTCAGAGAAACTCAGTCGCAGGTTTTGCAAGATCTGTGGTCAAGGTAGGTCAAGATATCAGGTTTTGGGAATATGGCCCGACTTGCGCACTCAAGACACAATGCATGAGGACCCTCTGCGTTGACATCAACAGGGACTTTTTCCGGAAACCAGAACAAAATACGAAAATCAGTAAGTCTAAGCACAGCCATCCACATTGATATCAACAACGCAGTTCTCCCGGCAACCAGCGCCAAGAACAATATAGAACCTATCGCACATACTCGATATTGGCCGTGACGATTGCCTCACCCTGAACATTTTGGGTCGTGAAATCTGAACTTCTGACCATCACCATATTTCCATGCTCCCGGGCCTGGAGAAGCACAATGAGCACAATGGGCCTGAGCAGAAGACCGGTGCCGAAAACTCGCCAACGGCACGAAAGCTCCCTGCAAATTCTGGTGATCTCGGGTCTTCTTGGGGCTATGTGGACACGTGTGTGAAAGGCCCAACATCTGAGGACGAAGCTCAGGTTCAGCTGTCCACGGCACCCCACAAATGTCAGCTGCAAGCAAGTTGCACACATTCAGCAATAATTCCGACTCTCCTATTGCAACATTCGATGACACGGAACAAACCTTGCACAAACCCTTCTAAGTGCAACCTCGTTACTCCAACAGCAAGTTCCCCTCCATGAAACAAGGAAGGAGCAGGGATTTGGCCTCGAATCCAACAGACCAAGTCTTGAGGACCGATTCACTTTCCATGCGCCGAACCCAAAACACTCCGCTTTGTAAACTGACATCTGCCACAAAAATTCGTCAAAAACCATCGATATCGCGAAAATCGTAACAATCCAGAGCCTGGAAGTGTCCGTTGAATTGCTTGATTGTCGTGCGATGGTAACACCAACCAATACACGTGAAACGTTATTGCGGGCAACGCTGAACAAGTTGGAAAGGTTACAGCAGATTGACAATGCTCCATAACGACAATCTGCAGTGGGACATCAATTCGACCCTGCCAACAAGTTTGCACCACAAACCGAAGGCTCAATCAACCACAAGTGTTAATTGGACTGCGAACTTGCCAATAAAGCTCTGCCACACAGGTGTGATCGGATGCACGCAGCATCCTGAAACATCGATGCTGTGTGCCATGTTGGAAGAAAAGTCCCCAAATCCTTCTCCACAGAAATTCTACAACCCTGTACAGTCTCTGCAAAACCATCAGAAAGGTCCGCCGCATTGCAGACCCCGTCTAAAGTGGTCGCTTCTGCTTCACTCGTCAAAATCGACCGAAGAGAGTCCGGAAATCAGGCTGTGTAACTCTGACAAAGACAACCTTCAAAAGGCAAGAAGCGAGCAAGATCCGGGAAGAGGGGGAGGGGTTCGAATCCAAATTGAATCCACAGGGAAGGAGAACAACAACATTGAGAACCTGGTTCAACTTAGGTTCAACCCAGGTTCAACCCATCCGGCAAGAGAAAAAAATCAATAGGGTCTATTCACGGCTTGGTGGCAAGCAGCTTTGCCTCTGGTTTTTTTCGCTTGCAGAAGAAAGGCAGTACTCGATGCATTGCACCCCTCTTTTCATCTTTCGTACGGCTCATAACGTATTCCAGGTCAATGACAAGGCATTTTATTCTGTCAGAACAGAGAAATGCACTTGTACAAGCACGTTTTCAGTCTTCGAACACGGGAATAGAACGTGAAGAACTGATGTGGTGCACTCCAAGAAATATTCTTCGGCTGTATCCAAGCCAAGAATCCACTGTCCCATGACAGTGGTTCTCACCTTTCTCAGCTTCTTCACAAAAGTGATGTTGCGGCCAAGGCATCCTTACCCTTGCTTTTGCCTGTTCCTGGGCCCTTTTCCATCCCTTCCCGAAGGTTCCCGTTGTTTTGCCCAAACGCTTCCACGAGCATCTTACCCAACTTTACTCCCTCAGAGAGCGCTCTTCGCAACCCAAAGTAGCTTTCAAAGGCCTCCGCCATTAAGGAAGAACACAGCAAAACGATCAAACAAACCGCATAAGCATGGAGAATTTACAGCCAGCACTTGGATCCAGTATGGATCTTCTCGATACAGCAACATGCGGGATTGACTGTGATGATACAGCACTGGAGGATCCAGCAAGATCCAAACTCGAGTCCAACACGGACTCCTGGAAACCTGCCCTCCGATCTCCGGCATCGGTTCTCCAGATTTGGAAGCTCCGTAAGCTCCCATGATTGTCATTTTCCTGAAGTTCTTCCGTCAGATGAACAAAACTAAATTGTCGCATTTGATCATGCCATGAATGTCATCTCGACTGTACAACTCTGAACTTGAAATGCGATGATGGCCTGGGCAGCGTCTGTTCTGTCCGTTCGAGACGTTAATCTGAAGCCCCATGTCGTCTTGCATGTGTCTGATCTAACAGGTAAACCATTGCATCTCAACAGCCTCCTGTCACACATGTTGCGGAATCAGAAGTGAACTGCATTCACGATTTTCTCTCATGTTTTCAATGCCTTGAAAGATGCCGCATGGCCTTCGCGCGCGAGCCCTGATCGCTCTGCACTTCTGCTTCGGGCAATTCTGGCTCTTGGAATTTTGGCGTCCAGATTAGCAATCGGGATGCCTTAACTTTTGTTTCGAAAGCATTGCCGCTGTGCCATGATGATATTGCGCATGAAACCATTGCTATGTTGGGCTTTCCATCTGAAGCAGTCGAGTCACCGGAGGTCGTAGTTGCTTCTTCGTCATCTGTCAAGTCTTCTTCGAGCATTGTGCTGCTCCCTGCTTGCGCTTTCGGTGAGAACTGGGCGAAAACTGGGCTGTTTGCCACTAGCTTTGTCAGAGAGTACCGTTCAGCATGACATTGCCAGTGAAGAAGCTTCATGAGGGTCCGTCCATGATGGCGCAGGGCGCCACTCCTGTGGTGATTGGAGCACACCACTTTGTGCGGACAACTTGAAGCCTTTGCGGATGTTTCTGCTAGATCAAGTCTACAAGATGCAAGGATGCAACCTCTGATTCCGAAAAAAGCGACTCTAACTGTTTTAAGCCTAACCGGAAAGACTTTGTTGAAGATATGCCGCTCTATTCACGCAGAATTGCTTCAAGAAGAGTTGATCAGGGCTTTTGTTTCAAAATTCAGGGATCTTGCAGCAGCTCAGCTCAAGTGGCCAGGTGTGGCGATAGGCAAACTTTCCACAGTGCGTGCACCGGGCGTGTTGAAAGACTAGTTCTTGACAACAGCATTTGTGGCACAAATTCAAACTGTTGCGTGCCGGAAGTGCAGCACATGCCATCAGTTCGCGACGTCATGCACACATATCCACTGCGTGAAACACGTCACCTCTCTCTGGGGAGGGTGTTGTCAACTCCCACTCTGTGATAGCTACAGGCCTTGTTTCAAGACCTAGGTCAGAATTCTGTCATTTGAGGGTCTGCTGATTTTGAGGGCTGGAGGCCGTAGGGCCTGCAATCGCAGGGGCTCTAAAGTGCTTGCAAAACGCCCGCGAGTTGCTTCAAAGGCACCCTGAGGACCCGCGCGGAGGTCACGAGCCATTTGGGAGT